GCTGAGGCAAGGAAAAGCATCTATTCATTCAACTTGTACTTGTCTGGTACAAAGCCTCAGGCTAACTGTTTTCTCCTGATCTTACCCCAGAAGACATTAAAGCCGAAGAACAATAGAAATTAACAACTGGGGACAGAACTATTTGCTAGTTTATATCATGAGGTTTCCAACCACCTGCCAAGTTGCAGAAAACTAGTGTTGTGAGAGTATAAGCCGCCACCTCCTCCTTCAGACCTGATTAATAAACTGTCTATATTTCATACAAGGCAAATGTACAGCACTATCTGTACACTGGTTTCAGTGGGGCAGACTTTTTTTTTTCAGGCAAAGCTGGCTTTAAAGTCCCACTGAGTTTTTCCAGGCTCAGATCAGCTGAGGACTGAAGATTTTGGATGACATCTCTCAAATCAATGCTGCAACATTTTCTAGTCCACTCTAGTTTTAGACATAGCTAATTGTGGCGCATGTGTTTTGCATGAACCAAGAAACCTAATGACTAATGTTATTTTGTTCTGAAGAGCACACAGCTAGAACAAAGCAGCTATATTGACAGAATTAACTAAAAGTGGGCCATGGGACGCTAGGAACATACTGTAGGGAAGCCTATGCAGTACTCACCTGCCCTGCTCAGGTCCATTTAACATGTAATCCCTTTTCCTGCACAGCTCAGGACTGACGTATCTCTCAGCTAATGTTAACGTAAAAAGTGACCAGAATCCAGGCTGAACTGACTGTTAACATTCCTGCCTAAGCAAAATCAATGTTTTGGTCTAAGTGCTGTTTTCAGTCTAGCAGAGCATACATGGACAAATTATTCAGGAAGTGTAGTATTTCCAGACACACAGTAAGACTTAAGTGCTTTGACTAACAGGCAGCACACTGTGATATTACTTTAGCTTCTTACTGATGCCAGAGGGTAGTTCACTCCTCAAGGAAACTTTGATACACACATGGAGCCCCTTCATGACTGTAAGTTGTTGAAGGAATCAAAATAATATCTTACATGCAACATTTGTTGCTTGCAGAGAGACCTGAATTTTCTTGTAAAATTACAGAGCGGGAAACACCATTAAAGCCACCTTGGAGTTCCAGATGTAGATGGTCCAATAGGTAACGCATGAATTCATGGGCATCTTGTTGCTGGTATCCCCTTAATACAAAAATATTCAGTGAATTTAAAGAGACCACATCTTTGTTTCTGACGTATTGGTTCAAAGTAGCTCCAAAATTCAAACCACAGGAATAGCCTGTTACTCATTATCTTACAGGATACAGCCAAAGTATAAAAATTGCATGAACAAGTGTATCCTGTAAGATAATGAGTAACAGGCTATTCCTGTGGTTTGAATTTTGGAGCTACTTTGAACCAATACGTCAGAAACAAAGATGTGGTCTCTTTAAATTCACTGAATATTTTTGTATTAAGGGGATACCAGCAACAAGATGCCCATGAATTCATGCGTTACCTATTGGACCATCTACATCTGGAACTCCAAGGTGGCTTTAATGGTGTTTCCCGCTCTGTAATTTTACAAGAAAATTCAGGTCTCTCTGCAAGCAACAAATGTTGCATGTAAGATATTATTTTGATTCCTTCAACAACTTACAGTCATGAAGGGGCTCCATGTGTGTATCAAAGTTTCCTTGAGGAGTGAACTACCCTCTGGCATCAGTAAGAAGCTAAAGTAATATCACAGTGTGCTGCCTGTTAGTCAAAGCACTTAAGTCTTACTGTGTGTCTGGAAATACTACACTTCCTGAATAATTTGTCCATGTATGCTCTGCTAGACTGAAAACAGCACTTAGACCAAAACATTGATTTTGCTTAGGCAGGAATGTTAACAGTCAGTTCAGCCTGGATTCTGGTCACTTTTTACGTTAACATTAGCTGAGAGATACGTCAGTCCTGAGCTGTGCAGGAAAAGGGATTACATGTTAAATGGACCTGAGCAGGGCAGGTGAGTACTGCATAGGCTTCCCTACAGTATGTTCCTAGCGTCCCATGGCCCACTTTTAGTTAATTCTGTCAATATAGCTGCTTTGTTCTAGCTGTGTGCTCTTCAGAACAAAATAACATTAGTCATTAGGTTTCTTGGTTCATGCAAAACACATGCGCCACAATTAGCTATGTCTAAAACTAGAGTGGACTAGAAAATGTTGCAGCATTGATTTGAGAGATGTCATCCAAAATCTTCAGTCCTCAGCTGATCTGAGCCTGGAAAAACTCAGTGGGACTTTAAAGCCAGCTTTGCCTGAAAAAAAAAAGTCTGCCCCACTGAAACCAGTGTACAGATAGTGCTGTACATTTGCCTTGTATGAAATATAGACAGTTTATTAATCAGGTCTGAAGGAGGAGGTGGCGGCTTATACTCTCACAACACTAGTTTTCTGCAACTTGGCAGGTGGTTGGAAACCTCATGATATAAACTAGCAAATAGTTCCTGTTTTCTCCTGATCTTACCCCAGAAGACATTAAAGCCGAAGAACAATAGAAATTAACAACTGGGGACAGAACTATTTGCTAGTTTATATCATGAGGTTTCCAACCACCTGCCAAGTTGCAGAAAACTAGTGTTGTGAGAGTATAAGCCGCCACCTCCTCCTTCAGACCTGATTAATAAACTGTCTATATTTCATACAAGGCAAATGTACAGCACTATCTGTACACTGGTTTCAGTGGGGCAGACTTTTTTTTTTCAGGCAAAGCTGGCTTTAAAGTCCCACTGAGTTTTTCCAGGCTCAGATCAGCTGAGGACTGAAGATTTTGGATGACATCTCTCAAATCAATGCTGCAACATTTTCTAGTCCACTCTAGTTTTAGACATAGCTAATTGTGGCGCATGTGTTTTGCATGAACCAAGAAACCTAATGACTAATGTTATTTTGTTCTGAAGAGCACACAGCTAGAACAAAGCAGCTATATTGACAGAATTAACTAAAAGTGGGCCATGGGACGCTAGGAACATACTGTAGGGAAGCCTATGCAGTACTCACCTGCCCTGCTCAGGTCCATTTAACATGTAATCCCTTTTCCTGCACAGCTCAGGACTGACGTATCTCTCAGCTAATGTTAACGTAAAAAGTGACCAGAATCCAGGCTGAACTGACTGTTAACATTCCTGCCTAAGCAAAATCAATGTTTTGGTCTAAGTGCTGTTTTCAGTCTAGCAGAGCATACATGGACAAATTATTCAGGAAGTGTAGTATTTCCAGACACACAGTAAGACTTAAGTGCTTTGACTAACAGGCAGCACACTGTGATATTACTTTAGCTTCTTACTGATGCCAGAGGGTAGTTCACTCCTCAAGGAAACTTTGATACACACATGGAGCCCCTTCTTGGCTGTAAGTTGTTGAAGGAATCAAAATAATATCTTACATGCAACATTTGTTGCTTGCAGAGAGACCTGAATTTTCTTGTAAAATTACAGAGCGGGAAACACCATTAAAGCCACCTTGGAGTTCCAGATGTAGATGGTCCAATAGGTAACGCATGAATTCATGGGCATCTTGTTGCTGGTATCCCCTTAATACAAAAATATTCAGTGAATTTAAAGAGACCACATCTTTGTTTCTGACGTATTGGTTCAAAGTAGCTCCAAAATTCAAACCACAGGAATAGCCTGTTACTCATTATCTTACAGGATACAGCCAAAGTATAAAAATTGCATGAACAAGTGTATTAGGAAACAATTTCCAAACCAATCTCTGAAAGCGTGCAGTGAATACATCTGAGGAAGCTAAGCAAGCAGGTCAGATCAGACTGCAATACGATCTCAAAACCACAAAGTCCAAATAAAGTCCTCTTGACCAAATATTTTTAAAAGTTTTTAGATTTAAAACCAAAATTTGTTGGCTTTTTTTAAACAGTACGAAGAAGTGCTGGACACTGAGCAATAATAGACTATGTATTCAGCTGTGTGTAACAGAGATCACGTCAATTTGCCTCTTGAACAGTTCTGACAAGGGACAGGCAATAACTCTCACTATGGCGCTGCAAGGAGAGTTGGACCTTCCTGGCTAGCCTATATTGCAGGATGGGGCAGGCCACTGCAACTGCTGACCCATGGTGAACCTATCTATGTGCATTTGGAGGCTGGCACCGGATTGGATAGCTAGCTGGGAGCAACCTAAAAGGGAACAGTAGCAGATGGAGGTGGTCCTTTTTGATGCTTCTGCACAATCACTCCCTTCACCTTTGGGTTTGCTGGTTATCAGGCTGTCACTCCATTTGTACAGGGTTGTTTGTTGTATGGTGGATTATGAAGGGATGTGGCAGTCATAGCTATTAGGAAAATGGGGGCATATAAGGACTGAAGCTCACATTGTGCAGATTTGCAGTTTATGATGTTCTCATGCGACTATTCAAATGATGTATATAATGTTCTAGAATCTGGGATTGCGAAGACATGGGTTTACAACACATTTTTTGGCATCTAAGAGATTCAATAGTGTTTGGACCACAGTTCTGGGCAGATTTTCCTCAGACACCAAACCCATCATTTCTCTAAGGCTGTCATTCCAAGGCCGAGTGCTCTCCACAAGCCTCCTGCAGTAATGGCAGGAGCTCTTTGAAAAAGGGATTTTTCCCCCCCCTCTAAATGGGCTATGGAACAATGCTTAGGAATGTATGGAGGGGTTTCAACCTCCACTCTGAGTAATCTCGCAACATTTCAGTGAAGAAATGTATTTGAGGCATAATTCTTACTACATTTGGACTCAGAGCTTACCCTACTGAACATGGAAGCTCCTGCAAGTCTCAGAAGTACAGTGAAAGCAGGAACAGAAAGACATTGCCCATGCAAGAAACAACAAGCACGTACTTCACTGCTAATCAGGCTGTGGAAAGCCAACAGCAGTCAGGTAAACAGCTATTTACAAATGAACCAGTAAGCTAAAGGATGTAACAACTCAAGGAAAGTCAAGAGGAATCTGAACGAATGTGTCACGAGACTCCAAGCACCCAGCCCTTGCAATTCTGGTCCTTTAAATTTCACGAGGAGAGAAGAAATCCATGACCTATAGTACCACTATTTCATATAAGCACCTGATGCCGTTACCACTAGGATACTACGTGACTGAGTGGGAGGAGTGGGCTTCGCTTGTTGCAATTCTGGTCCTTTAAATTTCACTTCTAAGGTAAAAATCCATGACCTATAGTACCACTATTTCATATAAGCACCTGATGCCGTTACCACTAGGATACTACGTGACTGAGTGGGAGGAGTGGCAGTTTCTACATTCATGAACAGAAGGGGCAGTGTCTATGCCAGTGGTTCTCAAACTTTTTGGTCTGTGGCCCAACTAGCTCAATGCAAACCTTTCCATGGACCATCAGCTGCTAATGGAAACTCACCATTAATTACACCAGAGCCATTTTGCTAATGTTGCAGCTGGGGAGAATGGTTTAATTTAAATTATTAAACAGATTAAGTGTTTTAACTCATGTCAGTTTATCAAACTTCATTTTAAATAAAGAAATACACTAATTTATGTCCAACAAAAAAAGGTTTTAATGTTTTCTTTATTTATGGGTGGGGTGGGGAAACTTTTTAGGGTCAGAGACCACTGACCTACAGAAATATCAATTGGGGACCACACAAGCGAGAAGCAAAAACCCCCAACGATGTGGGCCCCAACTGAAACACCTCACTCTCTGGTGCACCAGCTCCATAGGATGCCAGGAAGGCACAGGGAGGACTCAGGTTCAGGTCTTCTCATAGGCCAGATTTACTTTTCTGGGGTTCCAGAGTGGATTTTAGGCTCTAGGGTGTGGACAAAAGTTAGGGGTTCAGTGTATGGGACAAGGCTGCTAGAGTGAGATAGGGATGGAGGTGCAGGATCTGGGCTGGAGGTGGGGTGCAGGATGGGGTAAATATGCGAGGTCTGTGTGGAAGGTAGAGGGTAGAAACAGGCTGGGAGTAGGGTGTAGGGCCAAGGGGGAGGTGCAGGAGTAAAGAAGGGTGCAGGAGGAGGTTTGGGGTAGGGTGTCTGGCCAGGAGGGTGGGTGCCAGTAGGGGGTGGGAAGTGCCTCTCCACTTTCCCCATGCAGCAGGGAGGCAGTGCGGACTCCCCACCTTGTGGGGGGAGCACTGAGCTCCAGCCTGGGAGGCGGCTGCAGACCACTAGTGGTCCACAGACCGCACTTGAGAGCCACTGGCCTATGCAAAACTGTCACAGCATGGAACACATCTTAGAGCATTGGCTCTGAGTGCAGACCATGGACCACTAGTGGTCTGCAGCTGCCTTGCAGATGGGTCGCAGCATGAGGCTCAGTTCCATCAGCCAGCACTAGTGCTCCAATGCCACCTTCCCCTCGCGGGGATGGAGCGTCAGCACCAGCTTCCCACTGCACAGGATGTGTGGCTTTGCAAGGAGACGCGCCCCTCCCCCAGCCAGGCAGCTCCATGCGCAGAGACCTGAGCCTCTGGCAGGGTGGGTCTCATTAATCAGCTGTGGGGCTGCGCAGCTCACAGGGAACCTTGCCACAGGCCAAAAAGCTTGAGAACCATTGTCTTAGAATTTAGTCAAGCTGACACATGCCCATAGGAGAGCTATATGTTACACAGAATGCAGTCACTCCACACAAGCTTCCTACAAAAGCTTAGCCAAGGTGCAAGTGAATAAACACTCAAACCTTAAATAAGCCTCCCTGCTTTGTCCCAAACAAGCATAGCAAGCACCATTTCCTCTAACCCAGTGTTTCTCAACCAGTGGTACGAGTACCCTTAGCGGGGTACTCGAGAGAAGTCTGGGGGGAGGGGGTTCATCAACACAACTGAAATTTGGGGAAAACTGAATTTTTGTTTTAAGTTTTATAGGGCTTTATTCTTTTTGTACTTTTTACACCCAAAAACTTTATCGCCCGCCCATCTATGATTAAGTTGTTTAAACAAATGTGTTGCAAAGGTAGAAAAAAAATGGTGTGTCTGAAAACTGCAGGTACTGGATTGTACTTTTTAAGGGGGTACTTGATTGAAAAAAGGTTGAGAAACACTGCTCTAAACCAGCAGTTACAATGAGCATCACACAGCAGCAGCGAAAGGCAGAGCTCTGATAAATATTAAGAATCATCTGCTAGTAACCATGAAAATGAAGGCCGGCATGACTCAGAACCTTTAGAGAAGACTATGGTTGTGCTAGATCAAGCTGAAGCCAGTCTACAAACTCCTAAGAATATCAGCTTGGCTCCCGCTCCAATTCCTTTTATATCATTGGTGGGACAATGAAGTGTTTCATCCAAATATTCAGGGTAATTTTTGTTACAATACAGTAAATACTGTGCAACAATTATGCAATCAAGATGTAAACAGAGGTAAGAACCCTTCAGAACAGTGGTTCCAAAGTGTTACCCCATAGAGTTTGATTTATTAAAATCAGCAGTAAATAAACATTTTGAAATTAAATTGATTAATACTAAAAAACTAAAGTTTCTAAAATGTCATTTTCCTGTTTGGTGTTTATCATCATCAGGTCACTAGAGATGAAATTCTGAAATAAAAAGATTATCTGGTAAAGGATGAGCTATCTGCAAGTTAACTTTGTATAGATACTAAACAAAAGATATTTAATGTCAGTACAGCTTGTATATCTCCAGAACAAATGAAGAAGGCAAAATTCTTTGAGTGGTTTAAATGCAGAAAGTGTCATTAGAAGTTACTGAGTTAATGAAGGAAACACTTTTTTTTTAAATAGATCTAGCTACATTTTAAATAGCTTAGCAGACTTTTAGCAGAAGAAAGAAAATTTATGGGAATAGCATTATCCGCAAGAACACTGTCAATGAAACGGATATATATTTGAAGTGAAATGTGATGAAATTTGATTTGTAAATGCTTTATTGTTGTTTACATATATAATGTAGCACTTAGTAATGTTTTTATTCTGTTCACCCAAGTACAAATATGTGCAATAAAACAAAATGACCAAAGTTCCTCTAATGGAGAACACAGCTTCTCACAGAGACATCGTGTTTTGCAATATAGCAGAACCCAATTCACTCAAGCCTATCCACATTCTCATTCCCAGGGCAGCAAAATGTGATACAAAAGAAGCAATCATCAGGGGGAAAGCCCCTCACAATTCATGAAGCATTATAAACATACTTCAACCCACCAAGAGGCTATGAAGCTCTCTCAGTGTGCAGCAGGCTTGCCAGATTAGACTGCTCAGAGATTAAGCTTTCATAGCAAAGAAACAGCAAATTGTGGTGTGCCGCTGCATGCTATCATCCCACCACAACAGTACAATATGCAATTTCTAGCCATGAGCCGTTTTCCTGTCCCCACATGGATTTGGAGGGATCTACACTGCAATATCAGCAATTTCAGTTGTTTTCCACTATGTTATACTTTTCCATTATGGAGACAGGGCCTATAAGAAAAGGGTGAGCAGATGCCAGTTAGCTAAAACCTCAAAGACTGAGATTCATGGGAAAACTAACCAACCAAATCTCAGCTCCAAGGCTTCCCCTTCTCTCCACCCTGTGCAAGAACAAGCAGCATAGCTGACTTGTTCCTCTTATTCCACCAGCTCCAACTCTGTCCATCCCACATGTAACCCTCTTGAGCTGGCTAACATTGCAGTTATAAACAGAACACCAGTAACTTACTTCCACAGCATGGCTCAACTCAACCCAGAACTTCTATTTCCCCCCTTGCACCAAGGCTTCTGCCTCCTCCCCTCTCCAAATGCAGGGGAACATACTGCATTGGCTGACTCCTCTCTCCATGTGGCTTGCTGCATTATTTTGTTTCACACAATAGAGGGGCAGGTATAGCTGAAGGAAGGCAGAGTGCACAACTAATACCTTTCAATAAAATGTTCCTAGACAGCTAACGTTACCAGTGGGTCACAAATTCTCCCTCTCCCCTAAAAGCGCCAAATTCCCAGAAGAGGGCAGCACTTTATATTAAAAGCCATGACAGAACCCACAGTGCTGAAAATTTGCTAGAGAACAGATTTCGCTGTTCAGTCACACAAGACCTGTAGGGTAGGTTTATTACTAGTAATGGGGTAACTCGTCAAAGATATCAGAGATGTTCTTATGCATAGAATGTTTTGGCCACTGCTTGAAGCTGCTGGTATTAAACTTCCTTGATTCTCGTAAGCCAGTAAAACACACATTAGGCAGTGTGAAGAATACTAAAGATGGCCTTTTACTATCTGGGTTATTCAGCTAAGCATGTGAGTTCACAGCATCTTTTCAGCACTGCTGGAGATGTAACAGATAACAGAACATCTTTACTACCTGAGAACATGGAGCAACTTACCTTCACAAATCCTAACAGGTTTCAGTGCTCCTTTGAAAGAGGTTCAGGGGGCCAGGACAGGGAGACCTTGGAGAGGAATGATACTTCGATTTACTTGGGTAACTTTTTTTTGACAGTGTGTGTAACACCCATAGACTTTTACAGACCTTACTTTGAATTACATTGGAAAAGGCTAGAATGTTTTGAGAATCAAGGAAGTTTTGCCCAGTATGTTTTACATAAGGTTTATGGCATCTGTACTTTTTTTTAATACCATTCCTATCATAGCCAAAAGTTTGGATTCCGTACATTCCTTATTCTTGCTGAACTCCTTCCCCTATATGTAAGCCATTACTCATCAAAATTATCTTTGACTCTACTATATGTAGTGTACATATTGGGAACAAGCAATTATCTCGATGAAAGAATGTCTTCTAGATTAAAGTAAAGTCACATTTGAAAAGTTATACTTCTGGGCACAAGGGGAGGCTTCAAGGAGTTTTTTCCAAGAGCCAGATTAGGGCACAGATGGCATAAAGTTACAGTCAACAACACGACCCTTTGTCTTACGGAACTTACCTAAAATTTGGCATGATTTTCCAAACGACGTAAAATAAAGACTCTGGGCTAAATGCAGTTTGGCTCCCTTGCCATAAAGCACAAAGTGTCTTTCTAAACTCTTCAACCAATGAACTGGGAAGAGAAAGCAAAAATAAATTAGTATGGCATCATGCTCTAATCTACATTTTGCTGATAATCAGGACATCAGAGGTACAAATGTCACAATTTCCTTTGATGAAAACAGTTTACTTTGTAAATCATTTCTTAATAAAGACATATTCCAAATCCCTAACAATTTTACAAGATTACAAAATTGTAGGGGTAGAGATGACAATCTGGCAACATCGTGAAATCAGAAATGTTAAGGACGGAAGTGGGACAGATTTTCTAATGCCCGGTTTACTCTAGGAATGTAGGTCTAATTTAGTAGAGTAAGATTGATTTTTTAAACAATGAGTCCACAATATCAAGACCATTCTGTCAGATTTAAGGGCTGCTAAAGTTGATTTTGGTATTCATGCTTTTCACAAGGAGTAATACTAAATTCAACCTTGCATAGTCGAATTCATAGTAGTTTAGACTGTGCTGAGAAAGTCAAGATTCTTGGCCTCTGGAAGGCATCTCACAGTGCCATAATTTAACCGCTCTGGCCTGAACTTGCACCTCTACTGCTTTCCAGGTGAATAGGAAAAGCCCCAGGAAACATTGAGCATACGTGTGATGGACAGAACACACGTGCTGATGCTGTCCATCAGCGTAGTACATTGGCATACGTGTGCTGCTGAATTTAACTTCCCAGTGTTATGAGTACAGCTCAGCTGCCTCGTGTTCCTGCTGTAATGAAGTTTATCACCACCGACGGAGCAAAGGACCTGTCAGGAACCCACTGGGATAACCCTGAAATCCTGACTGACAACCACCATGACCTTCGAGTTCCATGAGCTCCAGTTCCCAGGGGCGCAAAAGAATGCCAGCATTGAGTGTGCAGGAGTTCTTGCACCTCATCAAGGCGTGGGAGGAGGAATCCATTGTCTCTAAGCTCTGAAACAGCAAAAAACCCACTGATAGCTATACAAAGATAGCAAAGTGCCGGGTGGAGAAAGGATACTCCAGGAACTCCCAGCAGTTCCATGTTAAAATAAAAGAGCTGAGTCAGTTCTATCACAAAACAAAGGAGGCAATCGGACAGTTTGGTATATCACCACAAACCTGCCACTTCTATGACGAGCTGCATGCAATCCTAGGGGGGAACCTGACCAGCTTCCCAAGCCAGATCACAGAGTCCGCCCAAGACACTCCAGGCAGAAGCATGGAGGACAGGATGATGGTGGTGGACAATGAGAGAAGTGGCCAGCCAGTGAGCAGTGAGACACAAAACCTTTTAATCCATTTGGAGCCAGTCCCTTCCTCCCAGGACATCTCACAATTTAGGCACTGACCCCCCAGCAGGGCATTTCTGGTGAATTCACAATTTTTTTCTTGGATTAAGGCAATTGGGTGTGATGTATGGCGACTCTGTGCCTACACAGTGCAGGGGGCCCAGAACAACTTGTTGACATGTCAGAAGACGGAATGGAAACCCTCCCTGCATAACTCCACGAAGCTCTCTGAGGAACTCTTTGACCCTTCTTACAAGGTTGTGGGAGGCTGCCTTATTCCATCCTCCACAATAGGACACCTTCCCGCACCAAGCCAGCACTAAGTGGTCTGGCATCACTGCAGCACAAAGCATTGCAGCACAAGGCCCAGGCGTCTGTCAGCATCAGCTCCCTATCACTGCGTGATTTGGAGAAGACTGATACCTCACATGGTAACCTGGATGAAGGAGGAGGGGAAGCTATTAGCGCCTGCCTCTGCTGCTAGCATGGCTTCAGCCTCTGGCACTCCCTCTCTCTCTCCTGCCCCATGGCTCCTGCGGGATGAGAAAGCAGCATTCTTCCAGAAAGCAGGGAGAGGCAGACATGGAGGAGGGAACCCACACAAGCCCTGCCCTACCAGCATGACTAGACCTCATCCCATCCCTCCCTCCTGCCCCTGGGCTTCTGGGGAATGTTGCACTCTTGGGAAGTGGGGCATGGCAGACAGAGGAAAGACTCTTTATCCACTGCCCTGACCCTGCCATCCCCCGTCCCACCCACAGGATTGTGCCCTGGCAGACTCCTTACTATGCCTGCTGCCAAATCATGTAATTCTAGATGATCCCTTGAGAACTCTGTTGTGTACCTGCTGTCCAATGGCCACTTTAAAGCACAACTTTAGCCTTGCACAGAATACATCTCCATTGTATTTGTAGGTCAAGAGATTTTAGGCTCCACGATGAATCTCCTTTGCTGTGTGCCCTTGTAACTTCATTACAGCAGGAACACAAGGCAGCTTGCTCTCCGCTATGGTATCCATATTTTCCAGAGTCACTACCTTCCATAGCACAGTGGTATTGATTGCTTTGGCTACTTGTACAACAGCAGCTCCCACTGTAGATTTCTCCATTCCGAATGGATTCCAAGCTGACCAGTAGCTGTCTGGCACTGCAAGCTTCCACAGGACAACTGCCACATGCTTCTCCACTGTCAGAGTGGGTCTCATTCAGGAGTTCCTGCACTTCAGGGCAGAGGAAAGCCATTTGCAAAGTTCCATGAAAGTGGCCTTGTGCATTTGGAAGTTTTGCATCCAGTGCCAATCGCCCCATACATACAGTACTAGCGCTCCCACCGGTCTGTGCTTGTCTCATGGCACCAGAAATGGCATTCCACTGTGTCCACAGGATCCAGTACCAGCTGTGTTTTCAATTCGCTCAAGGCCAGGGCTTGCCTGTACAGCATGCCCATGGCACCCCGAGACGAAGGTGATTCCTCCTCAACCTATTCCTAGTGTGCCATGCTTACACTCTAAAAAAAACCTGCACCACTGGGCGCACCAAGGTAGACATCAACATTACAGTGCTTTGATGCACGAGATCCACAAGGGGGGCCATGCTCATGCTGCTATGGCATTTCTGTGGGTAACGAAGGCGCATAAAGATGCAAAAAGACTGTTTCTCATAGATCTCAAGCAAGAGGGGAAGGAGTAGATGAGTGCATTATGGGATGCTGATAGCATGAATCTATAATCACCTGCTGCCCAGTTTTGGTCTCAACATGCACCAGAAGCATAACCCAGAATGCAAAGCGGCACAGGCATTGTGAGATAGCTACCCATAGTGCATCACTCTCAAAGTCTACAGCAATCTCCCTAATGGGGATGCGCTTCTTTGAACTAGGTTGAATTTTCGCGCACAGTGGGGACATGGATCATAGACTTTGCAAAATCGGGTGGCAAGAAATTGACCTTAATAAATTGGACGTTATCTTGTAGTACAGACATGGTGTAAGTTTTCATCACTAACATGTGAGCACATCAAAAATTGTACCTGTAAAAATTGTACCCGTGCACAATTATTTGCATGTTGGTGAAGATTCAGTCCAAATGTTCACCTGGAAATCTCCTTCAAAATGCAAGGTTATTGCCTATATTTTAATTTAGTGCTTCATCTAATCCAATTTTAAATGACAAGTGACAGGGTTTCCAGTACTTCTCTTGATAGTAGTTGTAGTCTAATAAATCTCACCACTAATATACTTTGATATCCAACTTTACATTTGCTTAATTTCCACGACTTAAGTTTCTTTATATTAATTTTAACTTCAGTGCCACTTTGCCCCAATTTAGGCTCAAGATGGATGTTTAATCCACATCAGTAGAAGATATTTAATAAACCAAGGCCAAAGCTATCCCCTCTCGCATTCTAAAACATATTTCCTCCTTTCCCATAAAACTCAATACAGGATTTATTATTCTTGTTGAAGAATTTTTTTAAAATCCCTGCTTTCATGCTAATTTTTGAGGACTTTGGAAAGAATTTTTTGAGTAAGATTAAGAAGCAATAGGTGACACATAGTCCAGTTAATTCCAATTCTAAATATACAGGAGACCCTTGTGATTTGCAGGTTCCACATATTCCTGGGTCTCTTGTCCCAGCCTGTTTCCTGCGGCTGCTTGGAGTCAGATTGAGTTCTTCATGGCTGCCTGGAGCTGTGGTGAGTTTCCTGCAGCTCCCGGCCACCACGATGAGTTCAGGAGCCATAGGAACTCACTGCAGGGGTCGGGAGTCACAGCTGCCAGTACTTATGAATTTCGCCATTAGCGGTGGATGCAGGAACACATCCATTGTGAATGGCGGGGGTTTCTTGTATTGAGCTTCACTCCAGCACTGTTTGGTGGATGCTAGCGTCCTATTTTTCACCAGCTACAAGAATCCAGTGGAAATTATGTACAAATCTGCACTTGTACACAATATCCAGAAAGTACCTGGGCACTCCCTCTTTCAGTTTCTAGTGCTGCTGTCTGAAATTCAGTGCTAGCAAGAAGCATGTTAACTTACACATTGTTATCCCCTTGGCTCCTAGTATGGTAAGTTCGCCTGCCAGCTGTTTTTCCATTCCGCAATTCCACAGCTGGCAACTCTTTGAAGTAACAGCAAAACTGCTGAATGTTGCTGTAGGAAAAAGAAATGAAAGTGAGAAACACAGAAGATAATAGGAAGAACGTGTGCATATTTTGCACAGTCTTCTTTAAAAATGCTCAATTGACTTCTTGGACTAGTTCTGAATAGCTTGAGTTTCCCATCAAAAGAAAAAACGGTTATTTACCTCGTAACTGTTGTTCTTTGAGATGTGTTGCTTACATCCATTCCACTTAGGTGTGCGTGCCACATGCACAAGTTCTGGAAGCTTTTTACCCATAGCAGTACAGACCCCTGGAAAGAGCCCAGCATATGGCACATATATACCCTTGCAGGCCCTCCACCCCCTCAGGTCCTTCTTGCTAGGCATGGGATGCGTAGTCCTACGGATGGGGGTTCCACGGCCACCACGCCCAAAAGGAAACGACGGGGGGTGGGGGTCAGGGACTCCCTTCTAAGAGGGACGGAGCCATCCCTCTGCCGTCCGGACCTGGAATCTCGAAAGGTGTGCTGCTTACCGGGAGCTCGCATTCAGGATGTCACTGAGAGGCTTACCAAGCTGATCAAACCTTTGGATCGCTCCCCCTTCCTGCTTCTCCACGTGGGAACTAATGATACGGCCAAGAATGATCTTGAGCGTGTTACTGCAGATTATGTAGTGCTGGGAAGAAGGATCCAAGAATTTGGAGCGCAAGTGGTATTCTCCTCCATCCTCCCTGTTGAAGGGAAAGGACTGGGCAGGGATCGTTGAATTGAGGTCGTAAATGCGTGGTTGCGCAGATGGTGTCGCAGAGAGGGCTTTGGTTTCTTCGACCATGGGACTCTGTTCCGGGCGCAAGGATTGTTAGGAAGAGATGGGATCCACCTAACGAAGAGAGGAAGGAGCATCTTCGTGGGCAGGCTTGCAAACCTAGTGAGGAGGGCTTTAAACTAGGTTCGTCGGGGGACGGTGACCAAAACCCTGAGGGGAGTGGGAAAGTCGGATACCGGGAAGAAATGCAGAGAGGAAGGGGCAAGAAAGGAGGACCCATGTTTCGAATGGAGAAGATAGGATGATCAACTGGTTACCTGAAGTGTTTGTACACTAATGCGAGAAGCCTGGGCAACAAACAGGAAGAACTGGAGGCCCTGGCCCAGACCAAGAAATATGATTTAATTGGGATAACAGAGACTTGGTGGGATGACTCGCATGACTGGAGCGCTGTCATGGAAGGGTATAGACTGTTCAGGAAGAACAGGCAGGGGAGAAAAGGAGGAGGAGTTGCACTATATGTAAGACAGCACTACGATTGCTCTGAACTCCAGTATAAAGAGGGAGAAAAATCTTTTGAGAGTCTATGGGTTAAGTTTAAAGGAGCAAACAACAGCCTTGATGTTGTGGTTGGTGTTTGCTACAGGCCACCGAATCAGGTGGATGAGGTAGATGAGGCTTTCTTTGGACAACTGAGCAAAGCTTCCAGATCGCAGGCCCTGGTTCTCGTGGGGGACTTGAATCACCCTGACATCTGCTGGGAAACCTATACGGCAGTACACAGGCAACCCAGGAAGTTTTTGGAGAATGTTGGGGATAACTTCCACCCCAAGGAGCCCACAGGAGCTTCTTGACACAGGTGCTGGGCATGAACATCTGTTTGCCCACCTGCCCCCAGGCTCTGAGGTGGTTCAGGCCGCCCCAAGGAGCCCGCAGAGCCACCCCAGTCCTCCCCATCGGGGGCTCGTACCCCATTCCTCCCTCACCTCCTTCCACTTACCCCTCTCTAGCCCCCCTTCCTGATATACAAAATAAAGGGACACGTGTGTTCAAAAATAGAAACTCTCTTTATTGAACAAAACTCAGGGAGACTGGGAAAAGGAGGTGGGAGAGGAG